AAAAACTAACCAACAGTATTTCTATTTAATTTCCTAAATAATCTGATATCTGTTTTGTACTTGATAAAAAAAAAAAAAAAAAAAAAAGATGCCTCTGAAGTCTTACATTTATTGCAAAAAAAAAAATAAGAAAAGTGGGAGATGGGGAAGGACAAAAAGCAAATGGAAGAAGCTATATACTCTTTTCTCTTGCAATTCAAAAACGTATCTGAATGTCAAAATACATACACATTATATACAAATAAAAAATAAATAGATATAGATATATAGGTTTAATTTCTATGAAGTGTCACAACAATATGGTGCGATACTCTGTTAAAGTAAATGTAATTTACTGAAGGAAATCACTTATTAGTTTTAACCCTATCTAGTGTTAGTAAGGGACACATGTCTTCTCTTTCTTTTCCCTTAAATTCAATAAGGATATTAGATTAGTGTCTAAAAGTTTCTTCTGATTCATCTTATGCTGGCCCGACTGTGCTACAAAACCTAATGCAGTTTATTCAGTTCTTCCCCTTAATACACTAATTGTATCAATATACTTTACTTACTGAGCCAATGCCATCCATCAATGTTAGTAATGAAGCTACAACTCTTTTTTCTACTTCATTCTGAGCCCCTTCTCTCTTCGGACAGAGTGCATCCAGCTCATCAATAAATATAATTGATGGACGACTGAAAGAAAAATAAATAAAAGCAACTTATCTGCCAATTGTACATAGTAGCATTTAAAACATTTAGGCTTCGATTTTCAAAACTAATGGATATGGACACTCAATTCCCATTAAAATTAGTGGGTATCCAAATCTCCAAGGTGACTGAAACTTTCAGGCCTGAAGTATGTTTCTGCTCCAATATAGGACTCTGTAAAATAATTGCATTCTGTGATTCCATGTTTATTGTTCTCAGATTCTATACTGACTTTATTCTGCTTATAAGTAAAAAAATTGGCTTTTCTAGTTGCTGTCCCTGCAAACTTAAACTGAGACCTAAAAGTCAAGCTGGGTTCTCTCTTGCTCCTTCCTAGGTTGAATTTGGCCCTCCAAATGAATTTAGTTTACAATTCTGTTGGTTAAACTTGAGTGAAAATATTTTAGTACTGAATCTGGCCCTATAGGTGCAGTGACACATGGTTTAGATAGCCATTAAAAACACTTACATACATACGACATGCCTCCAGTAATCACAACTTTCATGTCCACACCAACAGGTTTTTCAAAAACTACAATATTAAAATTCTGTAAGATTTTAACAATATTTTTGTTTTTCCACTCAATAATGTCAGTGACAACTTTCTACCATTCTGTTTCTATGATGAAATATGGGTAAAACAGAAGATGGGCTTCTCTGATTTAAGCTAAATGAGTCTTTTTTGGCTCAGGTGGCAGAACATTTCCACTGGAAATTAGAAATCATCCCAAATTAAATCTTTGCATCTAAACAGCCTTGGAACAAATGTAAACAAACTTCGGATCTGGATCCAATCTATCTGGCTTGGGTTCCTTTCTATTGCAAATGAGAGTTTTGAGTTCTAACGCCAACTAGGATGAGAATTTAATATTTTATGTAGGACACATGCTAATTGGTTTAGAATAATATACAACAGCCTCCTTAAATGACATTGCATTTATAATAAGGGATCAAAAACATAAAATTTGTAGATTAGATTATTCTTCTTTGCGCCAAGCTGTATATAAATAAAACGTATCTACATTTAAAATACCTTTGCAGGAAAAATATTACAATCCAGAGAATTTCATAAGCTTTTCTTTATGCAATAATATCAAAATTTGATTATATGATTACATACATGAAGAATGATCTAAAGTGAATGTACCGTTGAGAGGCTTCAGCAAATATCTGCCGTAATCTTGATTCAGTCTCACCATAAAACCTGAAACAATCACAGTATTTTAGTAACAGAACTTTTATTGTTTTCCAAGTTGGGGCGGGACTCTATTCCTTGAGTTTCCACAAGATGGTGTTCAAACCTTCAAAGCATCCCAGAGAATGTGTGGCTTGTCACAAAGGTTATTTTAAATTTGCATTTCCACTGGGATAAGAGACTAAGGCAAAATTTATACTTTTTTTAAAATATGACCCATCTGTAGCCAGCAAAAATTAGGGGGAACAGTTTATCTCCATCTAGGTCATAGAGATTCCAATTTTTTCACAACTAAACCAATGCTACCTGGACAAATTCTCATCTATAGCCTCATTTTTGCCTTTATTTTACTGTGCTTTAACAAACCGTCCTTTTTCCTTGTTGGACATACAGCTGGCATGCAGATGCAGTTCTAATTATCTTTCTAATTATTTATCAAATTATTTCCTTTTTTTCCCCATTCCACTGCCATACATACTTCTCTGTACTATACTAGATAAGATTCCTCTTCAAAGGAATGATGAAAACAGCCTCCTGTTACTTCATTTCACTGGGAGGTGACAACTATAATTTTCACTCTAGAACAATAAGCAGCATAATCCCATCCCCATGAACTTCTGAGACTTGGGACATATACGCTGGACCCAATCCTACATATTTATACACTGTGCAACTCCAATGGATACAAGCCTGTACAGAATTTGGCCCAATGTCTCTAAGTTACTGATGTAATAAATTAGATGAACTTACTTGCTTATGATTTCAGGACCATTAATAATTGAAACATGGGCTCCCACTTCATTTGCAACAGCTCTGGCAATCATCGTCTTCCCAGTACCTGGGGGGCCATACAGTAGCACCCCTCTAGGAGGAGGAATTCCTTTAAACAAACACAGAGAGAAAAGCGTTATTTGTGCTTAAGGCGGTTGTGAACCAATCAAATCACCATGCTCCACCGTTCTACAATAGACATGTCTACATTACTGATTTCTATATTCTACATGCTTTTATTTAAGAAATATAGGTATATACTAATTTTTAATAAAAAACTATTATATAAAATGTTATTTTCCCCAATAATCCTATTGAAATCCTTCTGATTGAAAACCTAGCATTAAATTAAATCTTTATTATGTTACTCAAGATTCCTACAATACTGTTTGTACAAACCTCCAGCACAACAAAACCACTCCACTTCATTACAGGTACGCACACCTTAAATAATATTATTTAAAAGACTGGAAATACCAAATATAAGAATGAATGTGCCTCTGTAATAGCAAATATTAGGAGATTGGGGATAGCTGACAGCTACTGATGAGCACTAAGGTCAGACAAGGGCATCTGCCAGGGATGTCGGTAAAACAAGGTGTCTCTGCATATAGTTAAAACAAGAGAAATTACAGACGAACAGGAGGGGAGACCGGTTCGGAACACAAGTATATTCCAGAAAAATTAAATGGTTTCAGCCTAGAGTCCAATAAAACAGGCACACACATAAAAATTAAAAACAAGAAGTTTAAAAACCAAAAATAGGTGGACTAGAATTCCTGACAATGGACCTTGGCAGAATGAGCATTACCGAAATATGGTAGAATGACAAATGGTCAATGAAATATTGTAAGCCTGACAATAAACTATATAAGGAGGACCAATTATACCATAGAGGTGATGGAATAAAAATCTAATGAGATAAATTTCCTGAGAACTATGGATTCTGTATGGATAAGCCCAACCCCTAGGGGTACATATGCAAGTAGAACAAAAAACTAAACATTAATTGACAAGAGTTAGGAAGAAACTTCCTCTTTTACCAGGTTACTCCTTAACGTCCACCGAGGGAATTGTTGCACATTCCTCTGATGCTTGTCAATGTGAAGGAAAGAGACCAAGAGTCTGGTCTAGTATGCAATTCCTATGCTATTGTACTGCAGATAACCACATATTCAAGCCTAATGATATTGAAGTAAATATAGGGCTTGATATCTCTCTGATGCCATTAGCAGAGGAGATGCTGATTATCCAGATGTCACCTATGGTATGGTGCAGGATTTGCAGCAGCATCCCTTCCTTGTCTCTGACACATGAAATCCCCTGGTGCATCTTGAGGTCTGGGCTCTGTGGACAGAGCATGGATGGGCATTCTTCATGGCATCATCCCACAGAAACCCAGAGGGAAGCCCTACGCAATATAAACTAGCACACCCATCATTGTCTTACATGGAACAGAGGGACAATCCAACAACCCACATCCCCCCAGAGGAGACAGGCAAGGTGGAGAAGCAATGCAGAGGTATAGGGCCCCTGCAATGAATAAGTTCTGGCCCATACCCCATATCCCAAGATCACATGGATCTCAGAACATAAATGGGTTGGGGAGTCAAACACCTTGGCCATTCCAGAGAGAGACAAGTAATCCCTCTGCTGACATAATGATTCTGAGGGAGAAAACCTGGTTATTTCCCTCACCTTAGCAGATTCTTCTCACCTAGGGCACAATCTCTCCACTCAAAGTGATTTATGGGTCAAAGCAGACAACAGGGTTTACCTCAAAAACCTGTAAGAATAGAAGCCACACCACTCTCCTACCCCTATCTATTCCCTTTCTAGAAAAACTTCCCCAGGACTTTAACTTTTCCTAGAAATTATGGATAGAAAACACCTATTAAGATAAGCTAATCCATCTGCTGCAAATGAAGGATTATTATTGTTCCCTACAGTACTCTCTAGTGCTTTGTCCCATCTTGTTTTACATTGTCCAAAGCACTGTGATTTAATCTAAGAAAACATAATAATAAATAATTTTAATGTTTAAATCATTGCATCCTTTCCAATTCACATGGGTGAATTGCACTATATTCTTTTCTATAATTTACAGAAACCCTGGGTCAGATAAAGGGAATTAAAAGGGGAGGGGGATGAGGGGAAAAACTAGAATTTGATTGGCCAATCTTTAAATTAAATGCACTTTTTTTTTTTAATTGAACTCTATAAAAACAGACTTTAAGCAGTGGAGTTACAGAAGAGTACCTGTATTTTTCAGGTGACTGACTAACTCCTTGTTACTCGTCATGAGTTCCCCTGGGTAACTACACCATCACAGACTCTCCTCTCTAAGGCATGATCCTTACAACCTAAACATTTGGTTATTAAAAAAGGAACAACTGTAAAGAAGATAATTATAACAGAGTTTAGTTGGGAACTAAAGTACATCAAATCTGTATCACACAGAGAGGGAATGTGTGTTTCATATAGAGTGACTTGTTAATATGGGTGAAAGAAGTGGTAAGTTAAAGAAAAACTGCCTTAGATTAAGAAAACCAACTCTTAGACATCATACCGTAACACTTAAACAATTCAGGCTGCTTCAGGGGCAGTTCAATTGTTTCTCTAATAGTTTGTAGCTGGCTGCTTAAACCACCTATCATGTCATAGGTAAGGATAGATTTAGAGTCGTGTTCTTCTGTTGCAATGATCCGATTCTCTACGAAATTGACTCTAGTTTTTGAAGAAATAAAGTAAAAGGTATCCAAATTGCATTTTGCTCCAGTGTTGCCAGTGCGTAGCAATCTCATGCTGTCTTCATCTCTGATTGATTCAGAACCATCAATAAGGTCTCTGACATTCCCCTTATTACTGAACTCATCTGTCCGGTCATAATCCTGCTCACCCCCTATCACCACAGCATTTGAAGTAACTGGTGAACTTTGAGCCATCAGCTTGCATGGAGTGCTGGTAGATGCTCCTTCCTGGTTGTCTTCTATGTCCAACTTTCTGAGCTGCAAAGACAAGTTTAGAGCACTGGTCTCCAAGTCAGTCTTCTCAAGGACTGGCTCTTGTGTTTCACTGAAAACAGTACTTCTCTGCATTTTCAGCAGGGCCCCATCGGTTCCTTTCACCCTCGTCACCATCAAGTTGCAAGGTTTGCCATAGAAAGTGAGATGCAAAAGGTTGCCTGGCAAAACTATCTTCCCATCTACAAGAAGATTAAATTTTAGTAAATAAAATTATATATATATATATATATATATATATATATATATATATATATATA